TGACGTGTGTTTCAGCTCAGACACACTCAAGAGTGACGTAGTGGTTTTCCCCGCCCCGTTTCCACCTGTAGATGGAGAACTGATCAGTATTAACGAAGGAGACACTTTTACCAGGACTCAAACTTTACCTACCAAAGAAAAGGTAAGCGCATATTGGTCTTAAATATTCTGGGATGTTATTTATTGTGCAAAACCACGGTGGAGAACCGAGTATGAATCAATAGGGTTTCACCCGAATTAAATTAAAAGAACTTAATTGCCACGAAAAAATGGGGATAAATCCAGTTCAAGTTAACTAATAAAATAAATCACTTGGATATATTTTGTTAGGCTTCTTTTACACATACTCATAGTTTGTGGTATTTACTTCTAGCAAAAGATGTGCAGATTTTGAATCATACCCTACACGTTGTTCTTCATAGTACTGAACGGACGATTCAACATGCTGGGCAGTTATACTGTACTTTAAATAATGTCTCGCTAAACATGTGTTCGAGTATTCATATCCTGGCTTTGTTAACATTAACAGGCTGTAACAATGTATATTCAAAACAATTCTGAAAAAAAAAAATATTTTTGCTTAGCTTGATTCTGTTCATTTCTGAGTTTTGTATTGTAAATATTTTAATCGTCTGACTCATGTAGAAGGTATCGTTTATTACACTATATGTCTTTGAGGGTTCATTCATAAATTTTTATGAATGTATGAATTTAAAAAAAAACACTGAATGAGAACAGTATTCAGAATAATGCCAGAATGGCAGCAGGTCATGGTTGTTGTTCCGCAAAACACTGCTTAGCTAGATAATTAAGGAAACTTAATTTCCTGATATTGAATGCACTTCTTGAAAATGTCCACACGGGGACATTGTAGACCATCAGATTTGAATTTCATCTTTGGTGTCTCGGACTCCTCCCAGAGTATATTTCTCTGGAATTCAGACAAAGAGAATCAGAGGGCAAAAGAGAACGGTGCGACAACCATTTTCTTGTTCATGGGAGATGAGTCAAAAAGCATCACTCTCATGTCTTACTCTGTTTAATTGTTTGAATTTCTTAATGTAATATGCGGGTTTGAATTACTCCGCTTCCCGGTGAATGTAAGAATGAATATACTGGGCAAATCGAGCTGTATATGGATATATCTCGTCTTCGTGCTGCTGGATTGTTA